CTCGCAGCTCCCGTCCTCCTGACACCGCCCGTGCCCCGAGCAGTTCCTGTCGTCGCTACATCCCTCCCTGCATACCTCCCCGTACAATCCTGACGGACACTCGCTGCAGTTCCTCCCTGAGTACCCGTCCTCGCACTCGCATACACCCCCTGCCCCGCACACTCCGTGTCCCGAGCACGTCGTCTCCCGCGAGCACTGTACATCGCACTGCTCCCCGTACAGCCCCTCCCCGCAGGTCTCGCACGCCTCTCCTACATACCCCATGTAGCACGTACATCCCCCGTTCTCCGCGCAGTACCCGTGCCCCGAGCAGTTGACTCCGGCATCGCATCGATCTCTGCACTCCTCCCCATACAGTCTGGAGCGCATCCTTGGCAATGTTTTCCTGACTACCCCTCCCTGCACTCGCAGCTCCCGTCCTCCTGACACCGCCCGTGCCCCGAGCAGTCCTTGTCCTCCTCGCACCGTACCTCGCACTGCTCCCCGTACCCTCCCGTGCACATGCTGCACCGCTCTCCTCCCCACCCGCCCTCGCAGGCGCAGCTCCCGTCTCCTTGGCATGTCCCGTGTCCCGAGCAGGTCTCACCCTCCTCGCAGTACGCCTTGCACTCCTCCCCGTAGTACTGCGCCGCGCATCCTTGGCAATGTTTTCCTGACCATCCTTCCCTGCACTCGCAGCTCCCGTCCTCCTGACACCGCCCGTGCCCCGAGCAGTCCTTGTCCTCCTCGCACCGTACCTCGCACTGCTCCCCGTACCCTCCCGTACATATGCTGCACCGCTCTCCTCCCCACCCGCCCTCGCAGGCGCAGCTCCCGTCTCCTTGGCACTCTCCCTTGCCTGAACATGTTTCATTTTTCGTACATGTTTCACGGCAAAGTGGACCATATAAGCCTGCTGGACAGGAAATTTCAATTGTATCTTGAGGACATTGATTCATCATGCATGCCATAAAATTTGTGTAAGTGTTTGCACTGCTCATTAGAGGAACGCATTCTTTGCATTCATAGAGTAGGTACAAGACCTTTTGATTCCCTTTTTGCAAAATGTTTAGATGTTGGCATGATCCTTGCGCACTCACTAATGTCAAATCAGAAACAAATTGTTCTTGAGTGAGAGCATTAGTGTTATTTGCGTAGTCATGATGAGTTCTAAACAATGAGAAGTCTTCATTGATTATATTCATGTTATCTGTCCAATCTTTTAACAACACGTTCGTCACACTCCAATTGTACGGTACTGGACGAATTCGCTTGTAAAAGAGAAGCCAATTTTCAATACCACAATCCTGACAAACTTGCACAATTGTGATATGATGCTTTACCAACACTAACGAGGCAAAGATCGCGTCCCAAGAAGAAGGGTACATGAAACTTTCAGAGTTGTAGTTGGGAAGGCCAGGAAAGTCAACAGAAGCCATCAAAACAGCACGACGATCATACGAATCCCTCAAAAAGTCCGATGGTGCATACAGTGGCAAATAATGCCGTTGCATATCTCCAAGCTTGAATGAGAAATTATAAACACGGAATTCATCGATGCTTCCAGCAAATGAACCATTTTGCGTGAAACATTTGCCGATGTAGAAGTTTCTATCAAGCGTGGATGCTATGATGACAAAATCAGAACGTACTCTATCGGTCAATGAAACAATTTGCACCCCATCAATCCATATTTGCCAAGCCTTTGGGTAAATCGAAAAATCAGATTCAAATGACCAAACAATGTAATGCCATGCATCGTCAGCAGGGAAAGGATGGGCGAAACTGAAGTCCTCAGACGAACCTTCAACGATGAAATACATCTTTCTATCTGAGGCATTGCTGTATATGACCAGATTAGGCATAGAATTGTTTGAAGATGCATCACCAAGAGAAATCAAACAACTTGATTGACTAATGAGTTTCACATCGAATGCAAACCAGAAAGAAATCGTCAATCCAGTCGACATTCTCACAGCTCCTAAGTCAAGATTCTGTGAAACTTTGATATACCCTCCTTCAGAAAATTTGCCCCTTCCGTCGCCCCGCCTTCCAGGCGAAGCAACGGTTACATCAACAACCTCTAATGCAGAATTTCCGAAACCAGAACTATCAATACTTGCATCTTCAAACTGCTCAAATTTATATGCAACCAATGCATGGTAGTCTACACAATCAGAAATAGAGTTAGCACCGATGTCTGCGGTCGTCTGCATATAAGGGCAGCTGACACAAATCTCTTCCAAAGGCTTGGGAGAGAAATATCCAACTACACAACCGCAACCTCCACGATGAGGCACTGTTAGCGTTGGGCAAGAGGTACACGCTGTTTGAGAATAATCATAATAAGCTGTAGGTCCACAATCCACAGAACAATTTGCATTCGTTCCAAATTCAGTCATTACCCCGGAACAAATGTCTGCAGGAGGAACCTCTGTGTCAGAATAAACTTCGATTTCGCTGATGGCAAGTCCGTTGCTCTGGTTTGTCAAAATTCTTATTGCACTGGCAATGATAGATCCTTCAAGGGCATAAACAGACCTGTATGCAGCGTTTCCGGAAAACGTTCCCAAAGATATCCATCCATCGACAAAATTCTCCGAGAAGTTTTTGGTTGTACTGGCTGGCACATACTCCAGTGCGTATAAGGCTCCGTCAGAACTCTCATTCCCCATATTTTCACTCTC